GTTGTTCAGTATTTAAAACTATTTTACATAATTCTTCAAGATCATATGATTTACATTTGGTTAATAATTCTCGTGCTGATATTGATATATCACATAAAAGACGACCACATGTTGGATTTTTAATTGTTGAAACCTACAAATTTATATTAATCGAAAATCTTGAAAAAAAAACACCTATTTTACTTTTGTTTTTCCATCATGTGTTCGATGAAGACGGCCAATTTTTGATGCTGTTAAACCAACTTTTAATTTTTGACAACGTGATAAAAATAATTCCAAACCAAACATACGCATATCATGTCCCTTGATGAATTAATTTTAATAAGTTTTATTGAAAATATTTTTTGATTACTTACAATGATAACATCAGGATCTAACAATTGAAATTTTGAAATCAAATACATAAGTAATGCTCGTTCACCAGGTACAGTTTCAATATTAATTTTCTAGAAGAAAAAAAAACAAAGATGAAAAGATTATTTAATATTTATTTATAATTTTAAATTCAAACTTGAGATTCAGCAGCTTTAACAAGACCAGATGGTAGAATACAATCACTTGGTTTAGTCAATGCTAGATTATAATCAAAAAGAAAATTTTTTTTTTTTCTTTAAAAACAAGGAAAAAAAACAACAAACTAACCAACAAAATAATTTTGATAAGGACGTTTTGGTGCTGCACTATCAATTGGAAATTGTTGATGAACAAGACCAGCAACACAAATAACCTACATAAATCAATACATTAAATTTCAAAGAAAAAAAAAATCCTTTTTCATCTTACTTCAGTTTCATGAGTCTTTGTATTTGGTAATGTAACTAATGATAATGTAACAGCCACCAATGGTGGTGGTGGTGTATTTATTGTACTAATTTCAATATTTGTCATTTGACGATCAGTTCCGCTATAATAATCTACATCATATTCAAGTTTACACCAACTTCGTCGTGTTTTTACTGGTGCTAAAAGAAAAAAGTTTCTTTTTTTTTTTGGATTTATTCATCAACTAAAACTATATACCACAATTTTTTATATTTAACCAACATGGTCCCTTAAGTTTTTTATCAATTAATACATATTCTAAAGCCGATTGATTTGTACCATAAACACATTGAAATGAATCTCCTTGTAAATCACTAGGTAATGATGTACAACGAGCCTAAAATTAAAATAAATAAGAGTTCAAAATGACAAAAAGAAAAAAAATATTACTGGATATTTCATTTCAACAATATCGATTTCATTAAGTACATCAGTAGAAATTAAATCAGGATCAAAACGTCTTTTTCTTACAATCTAAAATTAGATATTTACTAGAAACAAAATAATAACTTTGCTTTTTTTTATTTACTGATGATGTGTAATTTGTTATTTTAAATCGTTTAGCGATTATGAATAATTCGTCTTCAACATCGGATGCTGAATTCTATTAATACCAAAAAAACAAAACAAATCAAGATTCAAATTCAATTTAATGTATAATGCAAAAGTCTTGGCACAAAATATTCACTCATTTTTTTTTCGACCACTAAACGACAACTGGTTAGAACCGGTAGCAGTTAGTTAGAATCAGAATTTTCCGATATTTCTAAATATATGTTCAGACTTTTCTTCGGGGCTAAGATAGAACAACTATCAGTAAATTTTGTGAAAAAATACAAAGCAAAATAGCGACTTTGGCACAGTACTCAGTCTGTGTCTTGGTACAGCTTCAACTCAAGATTATTGTAGTGCACTGAATTCTGAATAAAATGAGATATTACCATAAACGAAATCTATGCGTTTTAACTAAAAAACTAGCATCTATGAAAATCAGCAATCACTATTTCAAAAACTGCTTGTAAAAGTACAAAAGTTTTAAAAACTGTCATGCAAAAGTAAATAGAACACATTGTAGAGCAAACAAAACTGAGCCATTGAAAACTGTTTCGCATTTTGAATTTGATACGTTTCAATCGAAATAGTATTCCGTACAATCTCCATTTTTGGACATTTTCAAACAATCTGATGACAGTTGTCCAATCTTACTCCTGAATGAAAATCTGAAGATATATTCAAAAAGAAAGATAAAGTCTGACTATAGCTAACAGTTTCTGATTATAACCAGTTATCTTTTGGGTGGCCGAAGAATGAGTGAATATTTTGTGTCAACACTTTCATGCTATAGATTAAACAACTAAAGACTCTTACCCCAGTTTTTGGTATAAAGAAGACTTGTTTTGGAATATTATCAATGATTAAACAAACACTAACAAATGTTTTACTTGTAGATTTATCGTCACTTAATAATGGTGTTTTACCAAAAAGAAAAAGTTTACCTAAGGAAAAGAAAAACGAAAGATATGTTTTTTTTTTCAGATTCGGTGTTAAAGTTCTTTTTTACCAGGTTGAGCGACTTGATCTTCATAAGCATCAAACCAAAACATTTTTAAATGTTCATCTTTATTAATAATTTCATTTTGATCAATTTCCTTTGTTGGTGATGTATGAAATGTTCGAGCTGATTTAAGTAATTGTTCATCGGTAACAAATTTAAGTTCTTGAGTATCAAATTGAATTAAAGATTTTGATATTGGAGGTGGTGACGGATGCTTTATTGGTGGAATTGTATCATTCATTAGTTTTGATACAGCATCAAAACTTATACTATCATCATCACCCCAATCAAGTACTTTTTCTTGATGCAATGAATGATTAGAATTATGTGTTGGTAATGATGGTGTTGGAACTTGTTCAGGACGAGAAATTTCAACTGATGATTTTGATGTCACTTTGATAGATTGTGGTTCTGGTGGTGCTGGTGTTGGACGACTTGTTTTTAATTTTGGTTTTTGTAATTCAAACATGATATCGGAAAGTAATTTATCGGATTCATCTTTTTGATTCTAACAGAAAAGAAAAAGATTTTTTCGTTGTTTTTATTTTATTTATTGAAGTACTTGTTCTTGTCGTTGAATATTTCGTGTTTTGCTTGCAGCAAACATTGATTTAATATCATGCATGCCTGTGGATTCTTCTTGAGGTTTAGCAAAGACTTGAGCACGACGTTTTGGTTCGGAAGATTTTGTTTGCTGTTCATCATCATCATCATCATTATCTTCATTATCAGAATAATGTTGTCTTTTCTTTAATCCTAGAAATTTTCAAGAAAAGAACGAGAGAGAGTTCAAATAAATTTATCGATTACTGGTACACACTTTTCGAATCTTTTTGATGAGAATTACTAGATTTACGTTTAGTAGATGATATTATATCTTCATAATTTTCAGAATCACTTCCATAATCATCCTCATCTTCTTCTTCTTCATCCGATTCATTTGTTGTTGTTGGCTGAAGTTTAAATTAATTATTATTGAATTTACATATAGCTAAACCAAAAAAAAAAAAAGAATTCTTTTTTTACTTGTTCAACAATTGCACTTTGACCACCTTGTCTTGCTCGTTTTAATTGTTCCAATGCACTTAAACGTTCTAAATCATTTCCTCTTGTCTTAATTTGCCTTCGAGTTCCTATTTGAGAAAATAAAAATACGATAAAAATCATATAGTGCATCGACTATTGATAAATTCTTTGTTAAAATAACGATTTCGTCCACTTGTTTGGACAAAGAGAATATGGCCATCTTATAGAGCAATGAAAATCGATCAAAATCAATATTCATAATACTTTTTTATTTTCTGATTTTTCATGTAAAAAAATATGATTTTTATCAAAACCGATCACATATTCTGAAACTGCTTGCAGTAGAGTCTTTGAACATGGCCACAGATCTAAGTTTTGTCGTCTCTAATGAAAGTTACGTACATTTGAAAATTAGTTCATTTATGAAGGTGATTACGTCGCGAGAATATCTGGTAATTCATTTTTAGTCAAAAACAAGATATTTCTTATTCTACAAATGAATGATCTAACGTTGCTTTCCCATGTTCTATTACAAGAACTGATTAGTTTTTTCTTATAAAAATTTTAGTTTCCTTAGAAAGAGCATAATGAAATCACCATCGAGTAACCAAGTGACATTATGCAAACAAAAAAAGAACTAGAAGAATCGTTTTTCTGGTATATTGTTATTTTAAACGTATGTTTAAATAGACAAAGAGGTGTTCAAACCTCATTGTCTACTCCTGAAGTTGGTTGATGATAATTCCAAGTTATTCCTATTACCAAGATTGAAGGCAACATTTCAGTGGTAATATCTGATATGTATCTCATACTTTCTGAGACAGATGATGAAAAATCTTTTTTTTTTTAACAAAATGATATCGGTTTGTTTGTTCTGAGGAATTCAAATTAACTGTTTGCAAAAATAAACCTTGAAGAAAATATGATTTCCTCATCAAGTCTTTTTCTTTCTTAAAAGCCATTCTTTTATATTTTTCATATTTTCTTTTGTTCTCTACAAACAATGCATCATCTAAGCCATAACTTCCCCACAGGAAGTTTTCGTCTCGCATAAAAATCCGTTGAAATAATAAAAGATCAAAAGAAATGTATTTTCTCTGATCGTATCTTTTTGAATAATACATTTAGAAAATACCAATTTAAAAATGTAATCCAATGAATTTGTAAATTTCAACTTACTATCTGACGACATAATTAATTACAAAATCTACAAGAAACAAAAAAGAAAAAAAAAGAATATAGAATTAATCATCAAATTCGTTTCCATTGATTTTTTTTTTCGATTAGTATATAGAATAGATAAATGAATGTGAGAATAAAAAGGCCGTCAATCGGTGGGCAACAAAAATCACAGTAGGTGATGACAATAGGAATGATAATAATTCTACACAAAGACACAACAAAAGCTTTTTTTTCTCTTAACATTGAAATACAACATAGGATTAAATATATTTATATATATATATATATGTAAATAGTTTTTTTCTAATATTATTGCGTGTTATAAATGACCGGTAAAAAAAAACGATATATATTGCACGATAAAAGGAAAAATGAATTTATTATTTTGTGTTTGAGATCATTGCAAAACTGTTGATTAAAATTGATCTTCAAGTAATTCAGCAAATCGTTTAGCAACACCATCTTTACTTGCTCGAATTGTTAAACGATACATCTAATTAATCAATAAAAAAAAAAGAATATTTTAAATTGTAATTAATAAATTTACGTTTGCTTGTTTATTTGGTTCAAGTCGATAAAGACAACCAATTTGTTGTGATACTGTATGAATAATACCTGCACCACAAAAATTCTCTGAATTAACATCAATTCCAGTTAAACTACTCCAACCAAAGCCTTCGAGCTACACGAAAAAAAGAATTTTTTTTCTTTTTTGATGAAATAAAAAAAAACTAAAAATATACTTTTTGACGGCAATCATCATATATCATAGGAAATTTAGCTGGAAAAATTTTCTGACATTCTTGATTTGGTCTAAAAATAATCTCATAAGATTAATATTTTTTGAGAATCAAAAATAAAAAAAGAAATCATTACTTTTCAAGGTTTCTCCATCGAAGAAAGAAATTATTCGAATCCATATCAGCTTTTTCAAGATATTTATTTAAATATAATGGAAATGAATAATCAATTTTTTGTGGTATATTATTATAACTAGAAATCAAAAACATTTTTTTTTCTTGAATTTATTTAACTAAAAGAAATTTAATTTACTAAAATGTGATATTCATTTTAGGTAAATCATAAAAATCTTTTAAACAATCAATTGTTCCACTTTGTTTGATTTGTGCTCGTGAATCAATTGTTGTTTTAATTGGTTCCATATTCATTCGAAGTTCTAAATGAAGAAAAAATATACCAAGCTTTTTTAAAATATAAAAGAAAAAATTTTACCTGATTCTAAATCTCCTGAGAGAAAAAAATTTGTTGAAAAATTTATTAAATTAAAATTTGTTTTATTTCCATAATATAATTCAATATGCATTGAACTTTTCATTAATTCACCTTTAATACCAATTTGAATTAATTCATTTTCAAATATAATATCACTATTTTTAAATAAAAATTTTTTGTTTGATTGAACTGTTGATGTGGAAGATTTTGTTAATGAAGCAAAAGAATTCGATGTTGATTCTTCATAATGACCATTTGATTCAGGAATATCAAGAGATACAAGAAGACCATTTTGTTGTTGTTGTTGTTGATGATGATTAAGATGCATCTAGAAACAGAACAAAAAAAAAAATTTTAAATAGAATAATTTCAAAAAAATTCATTACAGCTGTTTCAGCTAATTTTGGACCATCTTCAGTATGTGCCGCTGTTGTTGTTGATGGTGATGACGGTTCATTAACATTTTCAGATTCTATTAATGGTTTCTTTTGTTTAAGACGAACAAGTAATGGTGATTGTTTTTCTGGATAAGGTGGCATAATTTCAAGAACAGTAGCTAATACAGTTGGATTACATATTTCACTTAATTTAAGATATTCAATTGCACGTTGTTGAATTTCAACATCAGAACTACGATAATTTGAATCATGACGAAGAATCTATATGAAGAAAAAAACAAATCAACGCTTTAAATCAATGTCTAATGATTTTAGCACTTCTGTCTATGAAACTTAGTCCAAATAGTAGATTTTATAGATTCTAAAGTCTTAAAATCTTTTGTTACTCTTATGATTTAATATTTCATTGAATATTTATCAAAATTCAACATTACACTTCTACATAGTTTGACAAGATTAACATTCGTTTGATGACTTAGACTCTGGTAAAATGCTAAAGATTAATCTATTCGAAGCATATTTCGTATTGACTTGAGAAACAACAATTGCACAAATCATCCTGAACAATTATGTGTTATTAGATTATCTTGTTACGAAATCAGATGGGAGTTCAGCCTTCTCAAGGAATGCAACGTTCCTATATTGTAGGAAAAAAGAATATACCTCCTTGTCGATTTCAAACTCGGCGGCTGAATCCTTCTTCCTCCCTACAAGTTTCTTCCGAATCCCCCACTAGGATTATCGCTATAGATATTCCTCCTAGTAATAATTTCATTTTTTAATTTTGATTAGATAATCTTTTTTACGTCCCGCAAATCTTTAATGTTGATAGTTAAAATCACTTCACAATATCTTTGTATAAAGTTGAAGAATAGCCTTATAAATGTCACTTATTCAATAAGAAATCATGAGAATCATTATACTATAGCATAAAATAATAAATTCATAATTTGTTCATACATACATCTTGAATATGATGTTTAATTTCCGGAAAGAGATTAACAAATTTCATATAAGTCGATAGAAGTAAACAACGAGTTGTTGGTGAACATAAATGATATTTTGAATGAAGTAAATCAAATTGAATCATCGGTCTATAAACATATATACAAAAAAACAAAATCTTTAAATTAAATAAAATTTTCTTTTTTTTTTGTTTACGTTGATCTTGGATCAAGTGCAATTAAATTTCCATATTCTCCAAGAATATAACCAGCTACTTTAACCATATTTTCATGACAAGCTGGTGCTTGAAGTGCTTCAAATGCAATTTTTGCTGCATAACTTTGCACATCGTTTCGATTGACAACAACTTGTATAACACGATACCAAACCTAATGAATAAATTTTATTTTATTTTTTTTTTATTCTCAATTTTTCTAAATAACAAAAAAAAATAAAGTAAATCATTACTTCTTCCGAAACAAAATCACCAGCAATACGAATTAATTTCAGCATTATATCTAAATACCATTTATAATCAATAGCATATTTCTCACTAAGTATAGCAATTTTAAGAACCTAAAAAGAAAATCAAAAAGATTTATTTTATAAAAAAACCAAAAATAAATTAATATAAAAATTTTAACCATTTCTTCTCGAATTGTATAATCAGCTGTTTCAAGATATGTTAACATTTCTTGTACAATATCTTGAGCATTTGAACGATCACACATTGCATATAAAAGATCAACAGCACGTTGACGAACACTAACATCACGTTCACTCTGTAACAAAAATTTATTATTAAAATTATTTATTTTTGTCTTCTTTCTTACTTTTAATGCATTAATCACTGTTTCTTGATGTTTTTTAACTGCTTCATGTGAAAATTCTGATGTTGCTAATAAACACATACTTTCCAAAGCAAGATATCGAAGATTTGTTTCACGATTTTGTAAAAATTGTCCGAGTTGATTACATGCACGTACAAGTAAACTTGATTCGCAATCCATATGAATTATTAAATTAATAGCTTCAAATAAAACAGCATTACGTGCATTTGAATGTTGAACTTTTTTAGATTTTAATGGTTCTTGAGCTTTATTAAGTATTGTATCAAGACATTCATTTAAACGACTTCGAATTGATGGATCATCTAATATAAAAATCAAATTGTTTTTTGTGTTTCTATTTCAAAAAAAAAATTCTTCGTATTGAAAATACCTGGTGGAGGATAATTTTGTAATAAACGTAATAATTTAACACAAAGCCATGGAGCAGGAACAAAATAATAAGTGTAATCTTGAAAATCAGTATATGATGATGTTACAATCTATATAAATTTAAATATGTAATACTGAAATTGCATGTTTTGCTTCTTTGTTTTTTTTTGAATAAAAGCATAAAGGTTCGAAGATGTTATTTTCAGCTGTGTTTAGCTTTACAGAAATCTACAGATCGGAAAAGTAAGAAGTCTTCTATCGAATCAATTGAGAACTCAGAGGATATTTTTTACACAATAGCCAGTATAAATCTGTACGTTAAGTGTGTATTATAGTTAAAAAAAATATTCAAATTTACTCAATAAATCATGGTACTAGGATCAAAATACTCGACAGCATCAATTACCATTCAGCAAGAGTCAGGAATAGCCGAAATTTTTGAGTATTGTGGTCCTAGCACCATGATTCATTGAATAAATTTGAATATTTTTTTTTTTTACCAAATGATCAGCACAAAGTGCTCTACAGACAAATAAATCTTCTGAGAATTTTATGTTTTTGGCGATTGATTGATTACTCAATGAAAGTATCCATCAAAAATACAATTTGCAAGCATTTTGTCGTTACTATATAAATAGAAATGAACCAAAACTTTAGTTTATGGAGCATGATATCCTGTTTGTTTTAATCTCTAAACCGAATCGGATATTATTTTCTTTTTATTTTCATTGAAATATATTTCAAAATAAGTCGATCGCGTCTCAATATAGATCAGAGTAAAACATCTATAACTGTCTGATGTCGTTTACCTTCATAATTAAGTCATGAATGGGATCTATACAAAAGTTTAGAAGATTTAAGAACGAGAATTCTTCTGCTCTGCTATTGATGTTGTATATTCTATTGCTATACACATAATTTCTCATAAGGTTTCTTGTAATCAAAAGAATCTATTTTGAGAGAATGCCAAAAATCAATTTTGAACACTTGTAGGTTTTCCTTTATCTCATCAAGATTTAATTATAATTCAATGATGTTTAACAATTGAGAATCTACACTTCTTAAAAACATAATCTTCAAAACCTTTATTCAATCTTTTCAAACCTTTCTCTCTATTCATTAGAATAAAAAAACATACTCGACTTAAACGTGATACAGCTAAATTAATACATCCTTTATATTCATCAGGACTTCGTTTAACCAATGCATCAATTAAACTAACAGCTGCTGTAGCTACACCCTAAAAGAAAAATACATAGAAATATTTCTAATAAATAAATTTGAAAAATTTTCTTACTAAATGTTGATCATTCAGTAAATGAATAATTCTCGCTGTCCATTCTGTATTTAATTGTAATGAGTCTGGACTTGTACGATGAAGTCTTAATAAGCAAAGTGCAGCTGATTGTTTTACTGCATCTAATGTATCTCTAAACATTATCAAAAAACAAAACAAAATGAAATGAAAAATTCTCATGAAGTTAGTTAATAAATTCAAACCCTGAAATAAGTAAACGTGGAATATCATTTGTAAATGCAATAGCCATTTCTCTATCTCCAATATTTGCAACACATTGTAATGCTAAATTAATAAATATTGGATTTCGACTTTGTAAATCATTTCGAATATTTTGGATAATTAATTGTTTCATTTCTGTACTTGAATTCATAATTACAGAAATAAATAAATAACCCTAGAGAAAAAAAAAAACTTTACTTTATAACAAGAGTTTAATTTTTTTTTTCTTAATACAAACAATTTGTTTTTCTGTATATTTATTTGAACTTAATAAATTAACTGCTTCCATATAACCAAAATCAATATCATGACCAAGTAAAAATATAAATAATAATTTACATACATATTTTTTCTTTTGATATCCATCCAAAGTTTTATCAGCTGAAAAAAAAAGAAAACAAAAATTGATTCAAAAAGAATTTTGTTTTTTCAAGTTTTAATCAAAAAATAATTCAAAACCTCGAAATCGTTGTCGAATATTCGTTAATTCTTTATTGATACGTCGTAATTCTGCTTCACGACTTTTACCTAATAAAAACCAAATTAATTTAATATAAAATTTCTAAATAATTCAATTTAAAAATATTACAATTTCGAATATCCGATATAAAAACGGCTAATCCACGCATAGCATCGCCTCGCATTGTTGGCATCGTTAATAAATTTTACTGAATGAAATCTTATAAAGCCAAAAAACAAACAAAGAGAGAATGAATATTTATTTTTATATGATTGGTTACGATTACAGTGACATCAGTTGTTTCTGAATGGTTCATCCTGTTTTCATCTAGATGCATAATCATTCAGTTAGTTTGATAAAATAAGAAAAAAAAACCATGTCAACGAGTTCATTTTTTAGCAAAAGTTAAAGTAAGATACTATATTTAAAGAAGTTTTGTATCGGACCATTATCATTATGAACTGATATTGTTAAAAGTTATATACAAATATTAATTTCTTGTTTAAATAATCGAATTTTATTAGTACAAAACGAATTTGACAAGAAAAAAACAAGTAAAACTCAAACTATAGAAAGGAAAACTTCCTATACTTCTGCTAAAAAATAAAAAAAGAATCACTATTTGAAATAATGTATTATTTTCATATTAGAAATAATTATATTTGTATAGAATAAATTTTATTTTAGATAATATGAGATCCTCTTCAATTCTTTTTAAATATTTTCGAACTAAATTTCATTATCGTTTTACTTCATCATATGCAGTTCATGAACTACAAGCTGATCAATATGGTGTACCAGGTGAAGTTCTTAAACTTAATCATACAACAACAATCGATGCAAATCAATTAAAATCTAATGATGTATTAATTAAATTATTAGCTTCACCAATAAATCCAGCTGATATAAATATGATTGAAGGAAAATATGCATTACTACCATCATCATTACCAGCAACATTTGGTAATGAAGGTGTTTTTCAAGTTATTGATCATCGAGCATCAGATGAACAAGTTCGTCCAGGTGATTGGGTTCTACCTAAAAAGCTTGAATGGGGTAAATGGCGTTCATATGGTATTGTATCAATAAATGATTTAATTAAAATTCCATCAGATATTGACGTGGAATCAGCTGCAACATTATCAGTTAATCCATGTACAGCATATCGATTATTAAAAGATTTTGTTACATTAGAAACAGGTGATACAGTTATACAAAATGGTGGAAATTCAAGTGTTGGACAAGTTGTTATACAATTGGGTAAATTATGGAATATTAATGTTGTTAATATTGTAAGAAATCGTGAACAAGGTATGAATGAATTAGTTGAGTATTTAAAATCAATTGGTGCTGAACATATTTATGTTGAAGAAGATTTACGAAAAGGTATTGTTTAAAATGTTAATTTAAAAATAAAGAAAAAAAAAATACTTTTTTTTTTTTTGATAAATTTAGAAACTCTTCGTAAAACTCTTTGGTCAACTATACCTCGACCAAAACTTGGTCTTAATTGTGTTGGTGGACGAGCTACAAGTGATCTTCTTCGTGTACTTGATAAATCAGCTACATTAGTTACATATGGTGGTATGAGTAAACAACCAGTAACTGTTCCAACAGCAGAATTTATATTTAATGATCTTATTTGTCGAGGTTTTTGGATGAGTCGATGGAAATCAGAAAATTATAAAGGAAGTGAATTTTCAATAATGCTTCACGAATTAATTGATTTTATTCGACGTGATCAACTTAAACCACCACAATGTCAAAAATTTTTATTAAATGATTATAAAACAGCTATTGAACAAGCACAACAACCAATGAATACGAAAAAAATTCTTTTAACAGCTGAATAAACTTTCTTTTTCTTGTTTTGTCTGTCGTTAGATTTTTAGTATTCAATCATGTATTTTTTATTGCAATACAAAAGATGACATCTTATTATAAATATAAGATGAATGGTTATCTTAAAGATTTGAGCATAATAGAGAAATGTATTTAAATATGTAAAATAATCCTTTCATAATTATCCGATATTGTAAAGCTTTTTCATCGAACATTATAACAATAATTAAAGAATTATTTTCAAAACATCTAAGAAAAATGTTTTATCGCCTGTTCAATAGAGTTATCGAAAATTATAATATTAGAAAAGTCAAATATGAATATATATATGAATAGAACATGAAATGTAAATGTGTTGAAAATGTTTGTAGTTATAAAATCCAAGAAATTCTGACAATTTTCGTACTATCAAAACATATCAAAATTAGTGCATATGTATACAATAGATAAAAGTATCGAAATTCGACTATGTAGTAAATAATATAGGGATAGTTATACAGCTATGGATAAGAGACTTTATTCTTTGCTGTTACTATTCTATACTTCTATAGACATAATCACTAGTGATTTATTCGAAATAGGATTAACATCGATGATAATATCATTCAAAGATGAAGATGATTGATAGTTTTCCAAGGATAGAGTCTCGAAAAAATAACATTTTTTAGTTCGTAAAATTTGTAAATAGAATTCTATTTAAATTATTCAGCATGTTAGAGCAAACAATTCCATACAAAAATGAAACCTCTTCCAGCTCTCAACGACATTTTTTGACCGAAATCCATCAACCGTATGGAAGACACGAAATCGTACATAGCTGGAAGATGTTTCACTGTGTAGAGAATCATTTGCTCTAACATTTTCGATCATTTAAACAGAATTCTATTTGCAAATTCTAGAAGCTTAAAAACTTGGTTTTTGGTTTTTCAGAGATCATATCCCTAGAGTACTAGTAATCACTTTCATTTTCCAAAATTCTTATTAGAAACAAAATTTTCTACTTAAATTACTATTTAGATTCTTATTAACATTTACAGAAATGGAAAAAAATAGAAAATGAATCTGCTCGAATAATACTCAGAATCACTGTTACACCTATCTCAGAAACACGAATGATATTTACAATCATGAGAGGACAATGTCAATCTTAAATATTTGTTATATTTATGCGTAGTTAGTATTGAGAATAATAAGAGTTCTATCACAACGCCATTAGAACGTAATGAATATCTTTCGATGATAATAATTTCTTGTTTTTTTTTGCGAGCATATTTCTTTCCAAATAGTTTATTTAAACTTTGAACACTACTATAAATCATATGAAAAGATTATTAATTCAATTATCATTTTATTTATAATATATAAATCAATGAACATTAACAGACTACAATATATTCTATTATTGAAAAAGAAAACTCAAACAAATTTCTGAAATTTGAAAAAAATCAAAACATTTATCATTTTGCAATTCTATCTAATCGAGATGATGAGGAATTAGCTCGTTTAAGTGATTGACGTTTATTATAAAACCATACCTAAAAATCATTTATATTTATATATATAAGAAAATTAATCATAGAAAAGTCTAACACTAACTTGAATAATATAACGTGGATAAGCAAGTTTTTCTGATAAAATTGATATATCTGATCGAGATGGCATAGGATTTCTTTCAAAAAATAAATTTAATATTTCAAGATCACCATTAGAAAATTTAGTACGTTTTCGACTATTTCGTGCTTTTATTTTATTATTATGGTTTCCATTTGAACGAACTTTTTTCCAATTTATATTATTCGATGATGCTATTGTAACAGGTAATGTTGTCCATTGATAATTAACATCACAATTCGATGAACTATTACTTGAATTATTTAAATATGATGTTAATTGTTCATTATGTATAAATAAATTTGGATCATCAATGGTTGAAGATGAATATTCACAAATTGGATCATAATATGATGGACTAGAAATTTTCGAATTCAAAAAAAAAATAGCCTATTTCATAATTATATTAGAAATTTACCTTGGACGAAAATAATATTCTGTAATTGGTGGTGGATTTGATATTGTTTCATCAAAATCATCCATTGAAATCATTGATGTTGATTTATCAACATGACTTTGTAAAACCTAATTAAGTTTTTTTGTGTTTTTTTTTTAACTAAATTAATAAAAATGTCATCTTCTTTTACCGGACAAGGAATTGAATATTCCGATAAATTTTCAACAATATGAATAAAATTTTCAGATGTTAAATGATCAATAATACCTTCAGATGAAGATATAATACTATTCATTTGAGGTTGAACTGATTCATAATAATGAACTAAATGATAAAAACATATCAAAACGAAATACAAGCAATATCTTAAATATACATAATTCACTTGGACTTGGAGCAAGAATATATTTTCCTGATGGTAATGGTATCTGAAATATTTATCATTAACGATTATGAGAAAAAATATACAGTGTTACTCAATATTGATCATACGCATAACCGATCATCTTGTTTTTCTAATATCTCAAAATGCAAATTCTTGTTTAAAATAATGAAATACGAAATTTTTGATCGGTAATATATTTTTATATTTTTGAGCGTGTTGTATGATCATTTGGGAGCGATATCGAAACACATCATTTTTAGTGTTTCTAGTCTGACATAGTAAATATATGATATAGTGAACTGATAAACTATGAAAACTGGACTACGTTTTGACGAAAATCTCAACTCTATATGTTGAAACTTTCTTAAGATATTAGAAAAACAAAGCAATCAATTAAGTGTATGATCGATTTTGAGCGCCACTACATATTTCTTAATATTGTTTATTCGTATTTAGATAATAAACGAATAATTTACTTCCAATGGACTCTGTTGTATAGCAAATGTTTCAGGTAAACTAAGAATATGTGATGGTTCATCTTGAAGAAAAATTAAAAGGTAAAGAAATAATTTATTATTTGTTTATAATAATACCTGCAGAAAGTGCTGGAATTAAAAAATGAATAGTTCTATCAACAATTGGTTCTTCTTTAATAATAATATCTTCTATATGTATATATATATATATATATATATAAAGATGAAAAATATTTTGAATAATTGAATATAATATCTCACCAGTCGACATTGATTACTAAGTTTTTAAATTGAAAAGAATATTTTAATACTTATAAATATTCAAAAAAGAAAATTGAAAACTGAATAAGATCATAGATAACAAATAGAAATGTTCGAAGACTATGCTTCTAATTTTGTTATGAAAGATACAAAGAATTCTTCTCGTATATTCCGTCGACGCGCGGTTTTATTCGCTTTCTCTCTCTCTCTCTGCTTTATTCATGCAGTCAGATGATTTTGATAATATGGCACAAATGAATCATTAAATTGCACATGTTGTTAAACATAATGTAGACAGATGATTATAGAAAAAAAAACAATCTTTAAACACTACTGATTATATCATTCGATATCAAACGTTCAATTGATTTTTGAAGTATGTTTAGATGTGTTCTTGTTTATGAAATATAGAGGACATTTTTGTTGTATACTGCTTCAAAACGAACGGAAGAAGATTGAGTAGTAAATCGATGAGTAATGAATAAATATATTAATCTTTAATTAAAAAATATCAAATCGGATGAACTTTAAATGAACTGGTATTTAACGAATATAAATATTTCGAACCTTAAAAGTTGTATGATATCCAAAGAGAGTATCAAAGATGAATCATTGTTTTAAATCAGTGACTGCTCAAGTTCTCTGAATTACTCTAAAAGTAAGTATTTTTCATCTACTAATGTCTATCGGTTGATATAAACAGTTAAAATATTGAGCTATCATAAAAAATTTTATTCAATAGATTTAAATGTAAAAGTATAGTTTAATTCATTTATTTATCAATATTTTACCAAAAAACTTAATAAATATTGTCATTCAACAATAAACTAAAATCATTCGGAGAACTGAAAAGTGTAAATGACAATCATAAGATAGATTCAGATACTATTAAAGATGTAATACTTGATCTTATAACATTCGTTTTGCATGACTTTTAAGATACTTCATGATATTAGGTTATGCAAATAAATAAATAAATGATTGTAATGCATAAATAAAATGGATTATATAATAAACAGAATAAATTTAAGACATGTCATCGTATAAATTCAGAACACCGAATGCTTGTAATACAATTTCAATTGTCATTGAAATTCAAATAATAGTAACAAGTAGTGGAAAAATAAGCAATTGACTAGTTCATTTTCATTATGTTTTCCGAATAGGTTTTTGTTGTCAACAAATATTAAATAATTGATGCAAGATTAGCCAAAACAGTATTATTCTCATTACTGAAAACTTTTTAATAGTAATTAAATCCACATTATTTAAAATCCTACACTAAAATAATAAATAGATAGATAAACTCCACAAACTATCAATGGAATAGGATGCAATATCCATCGTCTTACTTTATGTGCATGTAATCATAGAGCATTAAATAGCAGAATATGACGTTGAATATTCACACAAACTGTGAGAAAAAGATTCATTACCAAAGACAAAACGATAGTTTTTCTTGACCCTAATTTTCGAGACGTTTGAGAGTTGTGCAAAGAAATAAGATAAAAATACAAAGTAAAATTAACATGATTACAAAATAGTTCTGTTATCATTTAACGTCTATAAGAAAATGTATAAGCTAAGATGGAACCATCTGTAAAGAGCGCCCAGAAAAAGAAAGGAAAGGGGGAGGGCGGGATCAGTAAAAACCAGCCATTTCTAATAGGCGGAATAGAGAGATTAGGCGGATGTAGACGTTCGAATACTTACGACAACTACTATTTTTTATTTTTTATTTTTTTGAACATTTTCAAATGAACAACTTCTCACTATTCGATGATCCGCCATCTATGAATAAATCATTCAACAAAAGATAAATTAGTTGTTTAATATAGAAACAAGCAGTATATTTGAGCAAATGGATTCTTTTTAAAAAACATTTTGAAAACTGGACGTCCAGGAGAAGGGAACCAGTCAAAACTGGACATTGCTGGGCAGAGGTGGTGGAGATCCAAAAGTGCGATTTTTACTTGTATATCCTTTGTAGATGATACTAATGACAATGATACATACCGTAGCCGAAATTTCAACAACGAACAATAAAGTATAAATGATAGATCAAGACAATAGAGAATACCCTGTGATAGCAAGGTTTACTTTTTTTCATTAAATGAATGATAAGATTCATGGTTAAACAGCAGATGTTTTATCAAACAAAATAAGGAAAATAAACATTTCTTCGTAAAAATGTATTTTAAAAATAGAATGTTTTATCAGTGTCAAGAAAAGAAAGGTTCGTGAAAGAATATCTGATAATATCGAGTAGAAAGTTCTCACGATGTTCATAATTATGATATGATATTGAACGTTCAATTTTTATTTAAAAGTCAATATTAGGATAACATTTTATAAAACAATAAATTTTTATTCAGTGTTATTGTTTTCGATTTTCATATATTACATTTCGTTACATAAACATATCTCATCGAAGACATCTGTTTGACATTGAATTTAGGTCTAGAATACTTTACATTAGATTGGATATTTTTCCTTGTTTTATTGCATAATTAATATACAAAGAAAACGTGAACAGAATATTAAAAAAAAACAGAATTACAAGCAGTTGATATAGTTTATCATTAAATCAATCCAATAGTAGAAGAATCAATTGAGAATTAAAAAGAAAAATTTTAATTAAGAATATTTTAAAGACCTCATTGAACCATTTCTAAATAGATTCAATTGTCTATGATAATTATATCTTAAATTTCGTTCAAATGGAGTTCCTGGTCCACACGTTTTATGCATTATTTCAAGTGAATTTGGTATTGATTCATCTAATATTCCATCATTCCATGGTATTTGTTTATATGGATCCACTAAAAGTGTTTTTAATTCAATATTTTGTTTTTGACGTTTACGATCATTTTTTGTTTTAAGCATACGTATTGTTGAACGACTACTAGTAGTACTTCTTGCACGTACTCCTTTAAAAGACGATGATGATTCTCTTGTTAATTGTTCATGAATACTACCCGTTGTATTTATATCATTTGATAATGATGATTTTGATGCTTGATATTTTTGTTGTTGACAATAATTATGATTCGAATGAGCACTAACAATATTTCGTTTTGATGAAGAAACTGATAACGGACTAGAAGTACGATTATCATTTGTAGTTGAGAAAGATTGTTCACGAATAATTGCTGATTGTCGAAGTTGAGTGATTATGGAAGATGGTTGTTTCGTACCGAAACTAATCTGAGATAGTTTTTTCACTTGATTATCACCATTAGGTTGAAGAGGGATAGTCTGAAAATATAAAGAAAAGAAATAGAATAATTAAAATAATTTTTAATTTATTCATGAATCAACACATTTTTTTTCTTTGCAAAATATGATCTAGAAATAATGTAGAAGAGATTTTCGTCTATATTGAAATTCTTAATTAATAAAAGTAAACTAGTATATTTTTAGTATTGAAAAATTCGAATAGAAAAAAAATCTAATTACATTGTGTTTGAAAAAAACAATTTATATTCATACCTTAGTAATTCAAAGAAAAAGATATATTGATTAGAGTCTATGCAAAAATATATACCTGGTTTGATAAAACAGGACGTTTTATTTTATATTGTTGTTCAATAAATGATGATTCTACATAGCTAGAATGATGTTTTGCAGGTTCTCTTGAGTCATGAGAGAAATTTGTTGATGATGCTTGATAATCATCTATAGTTGACGGTGCTTCTCGATGATTTTGTGTATCATCAACAACTTTTGATTCATTATTTGTATTTTTTCCTTTTGATGGATTAGCAGCTGCTTTTCTTATATCATGAAGTTCATTGATTAATAATTCGTCTTCTAATTTAAGAGTATTTAAATCGATATGACCCATCAAATTTAATTTTCCCGATGAAGGTTTATGTGTTCGTTGTTGACTCATCATTAACATATCTGTCCAATGTACATAAATTGGTGAATATGTTACTATACGATTCCATTGTTCTTCACCAAATGGACTTAATTGAACAGTTGATATAGGACCATGATGTTGATTATGATCAGTCATAATTATTTATTTGAAATTTTCAATGTATCGATTGAAAAGAAAGAAGAAAAATATTAAGCGTTGGTCGACAACGACGTTGCTATTGCAGCTGTAAAATTAACACTTCACTGTCTCTCGAAACTATACCACTTGCACAGAGAAAAAAAACTCTTTTACGCTGTTGTCAGCTTTCTCTCTTTTTTTTTTACTTTCGTACCTCATTTTAAATAACTGTACGAAACAATTGATGTGGCGACATATAATGCACATGGACTTGATTAAAAAGCAAGAGAAAACAAAGAAAAAAGAATATATTTTGTTTTGATTTGTATTCATATAGGCCGACACTAAATTATTAGAAATTCTTATGAAATAATTCATTTGACAAATTTTAGGTGTTTGTTTGCTCTTATATAAGTCGTAGAAGAGAATAAGTATCATGAATAATATTAATATAATAATACTTATAAATGGTAGAATAATATTATCGTTTTTTTTCTAAAGCTTAAAAAAAAGTTTGTTTACAAAAAAAATAAATAAATGTTTTAACGATTCGTAATATATAGACGTGACTCAAATTGTTGTACTTGAAAAATTTATTAAAGATGAAGAACAAATTGTTTATTGACAATTTAAAATAAGCGTTATAAATATCAACCATCGAATGGTATAGCTGTATAAGAAACAATTACGAATTTTTATATAACCGAAGTCTCAAAATAAATGAGTCACTTTTGAATCGATATTTGAAGTATAACTCTGTGCCGTCAAAATTTTTGGCTTCGACTCCGAGAAACTCTGAAATGGTTTTTTTATGACTTGCATTTATACTTCTTTTCATGCTACTTGTTAATGAAAAGGTCTCTCTGATGTTTATTTTTTGAAACTTATCAATCTATAAAATAGCATATATTTGTTCATTACTTATCAAATGAAGCATAAACTTGTTACTATGTAAGAGTAAAAGTACTTCACTGGTTCACTGATTTAACTTCGACAGTGACTCCGAAAAAATTTCCTTAAGATCACTCCGATTTTGACTCCATTGACGTCGGATTTTGGAGTTCAATGAAGAGTATTAATTTAAATATAAGATATCATATACTTTTCCTTTCGACACATGTTTAATAGTTGAAAAGAAACTGATACTACAAACAATTTTAAGTTCAAAAATCGGCAACTTTTCAGTCTATTACCTAGTCAGACAAGCATGTCGAATTTTTGTAAAAGAATACAGACTTTTAGCTTAAGAGATGGACCATGAAATAGTCACTCAAAACAGTAAGGACCAGTTATCAAAAAATTTTAGTGTTTGAAATGAGTTTGCTAGTTTGAAAAAGCATAAAAAGCTTCTCAGAAGCCAAATTTTGATAACTTTTTGACTATATACTTTCATTGAATGATTAACTTACAGAAGAAGTTCACGAATTAACACATAAAGCTGATATTGATGCTCATGAACACTTTGTATCTAACTAACTAGAAACTTTTTTTTTAAAAATAATTTCATTCATTTTTCTATTTCCATCTAGATGCAACTGCGAAGATTTTGTATGTATTTTAATAAATGAACAACGCGAAAATATGATCGATCTTTTTGTCAATAATAAAATAAACAAAATAGTATACATTTCGTGTGATAATAAGTCCTTTTGCTTTTCTGTATAATCTCTATAATTCATATATTTCTCTTCTTTTTTCTTTAATGTTCTATTTTAGCAATATCTATGATTCGACATATTTCTTTTTTCGTTTTTGCTTTTCTTTTCTTCAATCTCTTTATTTGTTATTATTGCTTCAGTTTGTTTCAATATAAACTTACATATGAATGGCCAAAAAGAAAAATGCTTCTTTTTTGCCTTGTTCGATTGGATATGAATGATGAACTAATTAAATTATTTATTATTGTATTTAATTGTTCAATATCTATCTGATGATGATGATAATACTACAAGGAAAAAACATCGAGATACCATATATTTATTTTATTATACATCCTTTCATATTTTGTTCGATTTTCTTTATTTATTCCATTTAGGGATGTATTGTAATACATTTTCATCATGATATAGCTATATAATAAGCGATAAAATAAAGCATGATAATGTTGTTCTATTTCCTCTGTGATAATACAAGCGACCAGTATTAAACATCGTAGGTATTTTAGTCCTAAGTAAGTAAAATAATTTATGAAAGTTTCAAAAAGTTTGCTCTTATTTGATACAAGAATGATGAGTTTTAAAATGATTTCAGAACCTTTGATATCCCCTTAATATGTGTGCAGGCAAACGAAGAAAGTAGTGAGTCATTAGTTTGACTTTCTCTCTCTCTCTCTCTCTTTTGTTAATATTGGACAAAAGTTGCACATGTGCCAGTCACTTATTATTCTTTTTTTTATTACATACTTGCTGCGCAAACATGCCATTGTTCGAATTAATACGATTTTTATTTTACTTTCTATCTATCATCATACTAGATTCCCTTTCTTCTCTCTCTCCGCACAACTACTCTCCATCGGTCATGGATGAGTGATCAACATTTTTTTTGAGCGTCGGCCTTGTCGGTAGAGCATAATCCACATAGTATTGTGAAGGCAAATACATACTCCGCATGCTTCACTGATTTCTGCAGTAGAACAGATATTTTTCTTCAATATTTCTATCTTTCACAATCAATAGATGTAAAAAGAATGGAGCACTGCTGTGAAGAGTCACAAATTCATTTTGTATTGATAATATCTCTCGATATCCTAACGGGATCCGATGACCGCTGCCTCATATTAAAGGATGATATTACAGCAAAAGAAACACATGAAAATGTACACATACACACACATGTTTTTTCTCCTTCAATTCTTTGTTAGAGTGTAGTTGTTGTTCAACAAGCCAGCTTCGAAATTAATTTAAATGCATAAAATAAAGAATATTTTTGATAGATAAATTTTATTATTATTGAATGATGAATAAATATATAAAAAATGAACGCAAAAAATATGTAAAAGAAATTCACATTCGCAATGACTATGGTCACTTACTGGATAATTCTTGTTGAGTGATTGCCTTGAACGATATAGTCTCTGTTGATGAATTATGCAATTGATCAATGATAATCTATTGATTATTTGAAAGAAAAAAAAACCGTTGAGCTGAGAAATAAAAAAAAGATATGAAATTAAAAAGCTCTGTTATCCGTTATAATAAAGTCGCATGAGCAGAAATTTAATCGATGATGGTGCATATCAACATCATCAAGAAGAAGAGTAAGACAAAAAAATGAAAAAGAAAAAAGAAAAAGTACATATACAAGTCGATCGATGACTTCGACCATTCAGCACAAAACAGATATCATCACTAACACTAAGACACATTATATCAAAGAAAATCAATACTAAATGTATTTTAATGATGTCGCATGTGTGTATGTGTCTTGTTTTGTTAGGTTAGGTTAGATTATTCTTTTTTTTTTAAATTATAGTCTTATCTTAACTGCTTCATTTTGTACAATGTCGAAGTTTTGTTCAATAAAAAAATAGATAATAATAAACTATCAAACATTGCTATGCTCTTGAAAGTTTGATTAAAATCGTAACTGTTATATAAATCCAATTAATCACATATATTATAGTAATAAAGGAAATAAATCATAAATGTCTTCGAAGAACCAAAATAAAAGTGAAATTGATTTGTTTCTTTTTGAATCTTTCTATTTGTTAAAAGAATCAAGTTGATTCATTCGATTTGTCGTGATATGGTGATTAAATAAATGAAAATATAAAGCTAATCAATCTGATCATTAGAGTCGGCCTTAACTATTCTTCTTCTGCTAAATCTATTGTTTCCAAATAACATCGAACTTGCTTTCAACGTTTCCCATTCAATCTCCAAATTCGAATTTTGGTCATCAATAGCATCATTCGTATGAATTTGGAAAAAAATGGTCAGTTTTGTGTTTCATCTGCTAGCAGATGCACAATCCGATTGAGTCCAAACTTTGTTTGAGCATTGTAGAAAATGAAAATTTATGCATTCTATTGACTTTTTGTTTTTATTTGAAATCTTGGCGTCATTATTATTTTTTGATTATTCATCGTCTGTCTATCATTTTCACAGTTCACCGTCCTAAATTGTGATGGAATCGGAGATAGCTGATGCATATGGCATTAACAGGTCTTCCATTCTCAAATAATATCTTCATACATTGTTTTTCTTGCATCATTCATTTTTATCTTTTGTCCAGAGCTATATCCAGATGGATACAAAGAATCCAAAGTCATCGTTTAAAGGTTGACAATAGCCGATTAAAGTTGAATATTCCCCATTTTTAATATAAACCAAAACAGGAAATTTGCATTATTTTCATTAATAATTAATTTCTAATCTCAAGTCATTGATCTATACCGATTCATATCGTCAATACGAGTGATACCTATTTTACATGCTTCCCACAGGTATCTATTCAGTAGAGAAAAAAAATCGATCCATTCTTTTTCTTGTTCTCCTTTTCAAATACATTTACGCATATTAGTGAAGAAGAGAACAGAAAAAATCAACTCGTTATCATACTACACAAATAAAATATATCATTCTTGTAGTGTGCAATCAACCGTTCTAGATTTTTATCACGCAATAAACCTATGCGTAAATGCCTCACATCAACGCCGTCCCCAAAGAAAAAGAAATATAAAAGTAACAATACAGCGACGTTTGTAATTTCTTTTTCTGGCCGTCGCCTTTAGCGAGAACAAGCAAAACCTACCTTCTAATTAACGAATGAATGATTAGCCTTCACATATTCAGCGAGCAGACCAAGAAAAAAAGTCTCTTACTATAAATATATGAATGAAGGGCGCGCGCATTGTACTGTATGGTCTGGAAGAGAAAAATGCTCATAAGTCGAGTTCTACTCAACCAATTTTTGGAATTTTTTTTGATTTGTTTGCCTAAAGATGGTCATTCACTTCTGAAAAAATCAAGTTTCTAGCTGTTTTAGTTTTCGAGAAATCGTAGTCACAATATCAAATACATAGCTTTCGAGCGTCATCTATCGGAAGGAATTCATTTTTTTTATTATGATACGATCATTTTTCAACTGTTTTTGCAGCTAGACTTGTAGAACTCGTCACGAGCTTCCAGGGTATGTCATTAGTTTTAGCTCCAGGCAAGGTTTTATGAATGAAAAACTATCAATAATAGACGTTAAGACACTTTATTTTTGTGTGGAGCGAGATTAAATTTATTGGCTTTCAAGTTCAAGAAATTTGATTGGAACAAATTCGATCGAATATGAAAGAGAGAGGAGGGGAAAATAATTTGACAAGTAAAAGAAGTTCGTTTCATATGCTTTGTTAATACAAAATTTTTATACAAGTTTAAAAAAAGCTATGTTCACACAATATGTAGATAAGATTTTAAACTTTGTTATTGCTATAACTTAATGAAAACTAAACCGCTTGTAACAAAAATGCGATCCTTTTTTCATCTCATAGAGTAGAGTAATATCCCAAAAAATCAAGCAAAAATCTTTCTCCGTTCAAAAGAAAATTCAGTTTTACTAAGAAAGTGTAGAGCGAGATTTTTTGAAATAATTATGCACTAAGATTGATCGATATATGTAAATAAAATATACTAATCGTTCCTTTATCGAGAGCTGTTTCACAATACCATCATTTTTATACCTCTATCACGTCCGAAAATACGCATCTAGTGCTGATTTGGCAAGACTTCACACTAAACAATGTACTTGACTGCCATTATCATCCACAGTGACCGATGTGTCTCATAAATTTCATTAAAAGAAACGATGTGTATGTCAATTCAAACATCAAATATACTAATTACTCGGATTCTAACGGTCCTTTGTTGTAGATTAATAGCCAAAAATGAAAGAAAAACGTGCCTTGACGTATGATCAAAAATACAAATTGAAAATAAAAATGAAACGTTTAAATATAAAAGCTTTTGATAAGGAATATAGGAAAAAAAGCGATTACTCAAGCTAGTTATCGGCGTAATAAAAAGCAAAAAAGATTGAAAGAACAAGCAATCAGATCATTATCATCATCATCAACGAAAAAAGATCTAAGAAAAAAAGAAGGTCAACGTCGTCGTCGTCGAACAAATATCAATAAATTAAAAAATGAAAACATGAAACTCCGCAAAAGAATATTTGATCTAGAACAAGAAGTGAACCAATTTAATTTACTATTACCGATTATAAATGAACCTTTATCACCAGAAACATCAACACCATCTCCGACAAAAGTCTTGATATCGAGTTTAAATCCAACAGCTAAAAAGCGAGCAACTTTACGGATGATAAACGAAAAGAAAAATCTTCCACGTGGTACAATATCAGCTGTTCGACGGAAGTTTGGTATTAATTTATCAAATCAATATACACCTCCTTCATCAACACCTTCTCAACTTGAAGAAAAAATTAGAGATTTTATGTGCAGAGATGATATATCGAAATTATGTCCAGATAGAAAAAAGACAATAAATCATCAACAAATACGATATCGATTGAACCACTTAACAGTTCTTTATCAACAATTTGAAATAGAAACAAAAATTGATGTTGATTATCATACATTCTTACGCTATGTACCTTCAATTGTTGTTAAACCAAAAGTTGATGATTGGGGTACATGTCTATGTATTATTTGTATAAATCCACAGATAAAATTCGACAAATTAAACCAACTAAAATCAACAAAACCAATCATCAAACAATTATTAAATTCCATGTCGGTTGATCTGAACGAAGTATTAAATAATCAACAAACAATCATACAATTGAAAGACGCTTTACATCAACTAAAACGTGAAAAATTTAGCTTGACTTATAGTGAATGGAAGAACGTGAAAACATCTGGAAGCTCATCAATGATATCAAGAAAAAATTACATTAGTAGCATCAATTGAAGACTTTGTAGGACAATTTTCTTTCGAAACTGAAGTAAGTTTCGTTTCGTTCGTACCTTTGATTAGAAGGTTAATGTTTTTCATTTCAATAGAAACTTGAACAACATTTACAACGTGTGCATCAACAACTCAAGGCTACTAAACAAGCAAAAGTTGATGCCCAACAATCACTTGATACAGCAACAATATAAATCGACTGGGCCGAAAATTATAATATTCGACAGACTCAAGAAGAAAAGGGTATTCCAGAGTGATTGGACTATTTAGAAAAATTCAGTGAGATATTTTATGTACATTTTCATGTTTTAGGTGCATACTACTCTGAACATCATGTGTCTTTACATTTAGGATATGTTTGGTCACATTCTAATGCATTTAGTTTTTCTTCAATGTCCGATTGTACAAGCCATATGGCAGATGCTGCATGGTGTAGCATTAAAGATTTATTAGATTACTTGATCATTGATCAACAAAAAAAAAGAATTGACATCATATCAGATTCTCCGTCTTCACAATATCGTAATAAACCATCCATTTATATGTTAAATCAATATGCAACAAAGCATGCAATTACAATGAGATGGATTTTTCTTGAATGCGGACATGGCAAAGGTGTGGCCGATGCCATTTCAGCTCAAATGAAAAGAAAAATGGACAAATACGTTTCATTCAATCCAACTAAATCATATGAAAAAACATCAGATTTTGTTCATGAAATTCAAAATTCTACATCAATCAAATTATTTACTTATGATCAATCTCATGTTGATGAAATAAGAAAGCAAATACTACATACATTACAAACAGTTAAAGGAACAGCTGAACTACACGAGATAATTGCTGAACCAACTGATTTAGTCTTTGGTAAAAAAACATCTGATCAACCACAAGTGCAGTTGAGATTAAGATTTTAAAAAATAAACCTATTCGAGAATAAGTTTTAGATCCCAAATATATGAGTTAGCCTATAGATGTTTTATTTTCTATGGTTTCTGTTTGTTGTGTGTGTATAACAGTAAGTTACTTTTTTAGGAGTGTACTGTGTTTTATACTAGCATTAAAGGAAAGAATAAAAGATTTGTAATAAAATTTTTAATTTATTCCTGATAGCACGAACACTGATAAAACTTATAAACAGGATAAAAATATTGCTACTGGTATCGAAGTATTGAATGTTCCTAACGGGAAGATGGGAGAGAGTTCAGTATTCTAGTCTCATCGTGCTCAACAAGGTGAATCTTACCGAGATCTGTTGAATTGTGTATGATTAATAAGTATTTTTTAAATATTTTCTTCAAAAATTATTATTCTGAGGTAAAAACCGTTATCATTTGTTGACCTAGTTCTATGTCGTGAATCTTCACCACAACACAGGAAAGTGTTGGAAAAATATCGTTTCCATGTACAATCGACATCGCTCTATCGAACGCAACATTTAGTTTTGTCTCAATATTAAGTTTATTTTATCGATTTTTTTTCTCGAACGGTACAATGGTTGTGCTCTTCACTCATATATGCGCATACAGAATACACCAAACGAGAACACCCGAATATTACAAAACATACATACTTACATATCAACGACCAAACAACAACTGTCGATTCTCACAAGTCCAAATCATGCATCGTAAGATATTTGCTTTCCTTTCCTTTCCTTAGTAGCCATTGCCACGGTCTGGATAGCTCTGAGAAATTATCACGACGACCATGATGATGACCATTTTGTCGATCGACCTGTTCTTCGTAAGCACGTCGATACGCTGAGCAGCAAACGTACATATCACATTAACTTATGCCGTACTTCCTTTACCAATCCATTCCTCCTCAACTTTGAACCCAAAACGCGTATAAAGTGAACAGCAACTAAATGAGTAGTATCTATCTGTCATATAATATCAACTCATGGTTTCAACATCATTCTATCACTTCGAAGTCAATCAAAGAGATGAATAGAATCGTCGCAAATAATATTCATTTGTGAGACAATCTTAACTCATAGATTCAACATCATTCGACCACTGCGGAGCGAATGAAAGAGATGAATAGAATTTTTGTGATTAGTATTCACTTACAATATGATGTTTACACATCGGTTGAACATCAGTCTAGCATTGGAAAGCGAATCAAGGAGATGAATAGAATTTTCGTGAATAATATTCATGTGTCACATAATCTTTATTCATATGTTCAACATAATGCTACCACTTCAAAGCGAATCAAAGAAATGAAGAGAGTTTTTGTGAATATTATTCATTTGTCATACGATTTTAGTCATAGTTTCGACATCATTCTAGCACTTTGAAGGGGAGGAAAGAGATGAGTAAAAAGTTATTGAATGGTATTCATTTGTGAGACAATCTTTACTCATGGGTTCAACATGATTCTAGCACTTCTAAGCGAATCAAAGTGGTAAATAGAATGTTGATGAATACCATTCATTGATGATACGATATTTACTCATAGATTGTACATGATTCTTTTACTTGGAAGCGAATGAAAAGAATGAATAGAATTTTAATTAATAGTGTTGATTTGTTATATGATGTTTACTCATAGGAGGAATATCATTCGAGAACGCGAAGGGAATGGAAGAGATGAGAAGAATGTTGGTGAATGATATTCGTTTGTCACAGCATCTTTAGTCATAGGTTAAATATGATTCTATCACTTCGAAGCGAATCCAAGTGATGCATAGAATCTGTTTGAATAGTATGCATTTGTCATAGGATGTTGAGTAATAGATTTAACAGCATTCTGTCACTTCGAAGCGAATCAAAGGGATGAATAGAGTGTTTGTGAAAGTAGTAGTCATGTGTTGTTTGAGTTTTGGTGCAAGTATTCATGACATGTGTTCTGCAGCAAAGGGAGAAGATAGTTGAATGAAGCTGTAAGTGGAAAATATGTTTGATAGCTGCTTGTGGATAAAAACATGAAGATTTTCTCTTGTTTTGGAAATAGTGTTGTAGATAAATGAAATTATGTTTGAGGAGATTCAGTTGTTGTGCAATCTCAAATGAAGATTGGTATAGTCAGATGACAACGCTTCGATGAAGTTACTAAAGCTATGGCTTTGTATGGAGATGGTTAATATAGAAGAATCAATCGTTCGAGCGCACTGTTTACTTGCAATAGTTTGTTTGCCTTCAGTAATTTATTCATAGTTATGTTTTAAAAGTAAAGCAATAAGGGTATGAAGTCTAGTTAGGCAGGATTCATGTTGTGTAGGAATGTGATTAATGATATTAATGTTGTAACTTCGCGTGGGATTGAGTGAGAGAGATGAATACAATCTTCTTTGGTAGTATTTGTTTGCTATGTGAAATAGAATGAAACAATAATTTGGAGGCTAGTTTTTTCAAAGTGAGAAGGATATTTGAATACAGTCTTTACGACAAAGAAATCAGGTATCTTGTGTGAAAACTGAACTTTGATAATAATTCGTTGAGACAATGTTCTGATATTTATTCCATTATAAGAGTATCTCTCTTTGACAACATCGTTTTCAGAATCATCTGGTATTGAATCAACCCAGTACTTTTTTCTTTGTAGGATGTATTCCAACAATACAAATCCACGATGAAAATCGAACATTGCCATCATTGTTTATCAACATCAACGAATTTTATTCAGTAGCTAGTTTTTTTGTTTTTTTTCCATATTTAGTTAGTTTTTTGTTTTTTTTCCATATTTAGTCAATTTTTTCTTGTCATATTTTAAACTATCTTCTCTCCTCATTTATTTATATATTTTCGTAATCTTTTTATTCTAATAAATTATGGGCACCGTAAACAAACTTTGTTTGAATCTGTAAGAACAACACTGAATATGTATGATAATCATGGGCAACGAATCTTTTTCATCATGAACTCAATATCATCCATTCAATTCATGATAATTGTCATTTATGATGAACAACTGAGTTTCTCTAGAGTCTATCTAATACAAACAAAGTAATTCTGTACTATCACGAACAGTTTCAGCATGGTTCAAGGGGTGTTATCAAATAGCTTTATTATTATAAAAGCATAAAGGCTCATTTTTTTTGACATTGAGCTATTCGACTTTTTTGATTGTGATATTTTTATCTTTTACACTCTCTTTTTCAATATTGTCTTCGATGTATTCCTGCTCGATATATTTTCTTTCTGCATATTCTACTAAACTGCTGGAATACTATCGGCTCTTGCTTGATCCTGAAACTCGCACTATCTGTCGAAATAAACAACAGCATTTGTCTTTCTTTATCTTGGAATACTGTTTCAATCGATGCCAATATTTGTCTTGTATTTGTCTCATATACCATGCCATGTCATAAATGAATTTCCAGCGGTCTGTACTAGGTTTTGTATTTTTAAACTCTTGATAGAATTAGACTTCACTAGACAGTAATTCCGTTTCAGATAATAAAAAAAATATCTTCGAAATGAAGAAGCAACCAAGAGAGAACTAATGAAAATGAAACAAGAACTTGTTGGATCTGAAGAAGGTTGAACTATGATAGAAAAAAATCGGTGCTGCTAGTTATTTCGTATGTTCTGATAAGATTAAAGAAGATTATAATCTCTAACTTTCAATATGATTTCATTCAATATCAAATTCAATTTTTAGGCGTTCATAAAGTATTTGAATTTGTAGCACGTTCAGCATTAATGCGAAAACGAAAAGGTGGTTGTTCATTGTTCTAAAGAAAACACTAATATATCTTTAATCGGGTCTAATAAATTAATAGATCATTCTCTTCTTCTTGATGTTAATGTACTCTAAATAAAAGCAGTTTTCTTGTATAAATATTCTCCTTCTGGTTGATTTTAAGTTTCTTTTTCTAAATTTATTCATCCAAAAAAATCAACATTTTACATAAACACACAGTTGCATGTTGGTAAATGAAAAATCAATTAAGTTGTTTTAAGTTTAACATGTTTTTTACCATTAATAATTTTTTCTTCGATATTAAGACGTTTTAGAATTGTTGCTAATTTTTGAACAATACCTTCTTTAATTTCTTTTGTTCGTAAATTTTCTGTTTTAGGTAAAAAGTTTTGAATTAATTCTGTAAATGTCATATATTGTTTTCGTAAAAGTAAATTACGAACTTTATCTTCAGTAATTGTTTCACTATAATATATCATGATAAATATTTTTACAATAGACAATAAAAGAAAAAAACAAACCTAGGATTTGATGGTGTACTTGGTAAAGACATAACTTTCGATTTTATTGCTCGCATTTCTTCTTCTCTTGCTTTCTTATGGCCTTTTTCTAAAATGAAAATAATTTTGAATAAATCGCTATGTTAAATCTATTAGTTAATTGAAAAGAAAAATATAGAAATCATTGGATCCAAAGGATTTTAATCAAATAGATTCTACTGATGGATGTTTGAAATTTTTATAATAATGTAATAAGGATGAAATGGAATATTATTTATAGGAACTGTTCTACGATTAAATATTAAATATTAATATAGTTTTATGTGTTGTATCTATTGCAAAATAAGATTTTCGATTTTGAAATAACTATTTTTCTATACAAAAAAGAAAGACACTAATCGTATTGAAGGATTAATTGAAGTTTCTTACCTGTATATAATATAAGATGATATTATTTATTATATTAATAAAATTATTTAGACTTCTTTCAGAAATATAGAATTAATATTTACGCTTTATATTCTCGTTATGATAATATCATGGCATTTGAGAGAATAAATTCGAACATTCTGTAGTGAATGTGATTGTAAAGTAGAGAATCTCACGAAGAATACAAAAGGGAAAACATTCATTTCTTTGGAGACTTTTTCAAAATACTGTTTTCAACTCAACTACTACAAACAATCGAATCGTCGACAGCAATTCTATATAGGACGAAAGAAATAGCTAATATTTCCAAGTATTTTAGACAAAGTCTATCTATCCTTTATTTAATACTTCTATCCGGAGCGATTCTTCACTGATATCTGATGCTCTTTTAATAGAAAACCAATTAAACACACATGGCCTCAGCTACTTACTAACTATTCTCACAAGGAAATCTTATTCAGTAACGAAATCTCTGTTGGAATGAGTCTTACCTCACTAGATAGGCCCTGCTGAGACTAAAAATAATTTAAAGACTTCATGTTCATGGATATTTCTTGAATTATGCCCATTTTAGTAAGTTTGTCAACAGGAAACCAGAGTTCCATTTGGATCATCTTTAAAATTGACTTTCTAGTTCAAATTTTGCACAAATAAAGCTTTCAATAGTATTAGTTCGTTCTGAAACTGTCGAATTTTTTAGTATTTTCTTTCCTCAAACATAAATATAAGGACAAAGATTTGCTTATTTGTATAACAAAATTTTGGAATATTCTGTCTAAAGATAGGAAATACTAGAAAGCCTGATCTTTTTACAATGACCTAATCTTATTGAGAACTTTATTCGTACAACTTTTGAATTCGAAAGTTGATTTTGAATGTAATCTAAGCTAGATCACAGCTTTTTAATTCATTCTGTTGTCACCTTGAACACACATATCCAATACAATACAAATAATAAGTCTCTGTTGAAATCTTTTTACTTTGATCAATATTATCACTTTTCGTAACTTTTGAAAAATGTTCATAATCCACTGACTTTGACAAAGACATACAATTCTATCAAATGATGTTTTATCTTTGTTTACTTACCAGTTTTAATCTGTTCAGATGGAATTAATTGAGTATTAATAGAATTCTAGGTAAAAACACATACTATATTTCAAATTGAGAAGAAAATTTTATTCTATTTACAGATATTGGATCAATCGATTCTTTATCAGGATCGTCTGAATCGTCAAGATCATCATCATCGGAACTTGATTCCATTTCTAAATTTTGTTTTCATAAATATAGTTTGAATTCTAACATAATTTCAATACATACCTTTACTAACTGCATCGTTTTTGAGTAATTTACTGACATCAGACAAATCATCAACTGTTGTTTTACCGTTTTCTTCATCATTTTCATCTATAAGATAAAAACAAAATATTTTTTTCATATGACATTATTCCTAATCTTAAACCCGAATCAAGAATGTCGTCATTATCATCATCATCATCAAAATCAAGTTCATCTGCATTTTTATCCATTTGTTCAAGTTTTTTTTCTATATCTGGTATTGTTTTCATTTCTTCATCAATGCCTATAGATAACAAAAAGAAATCTTCAAATTTTAACTTCAAAAAATAAATAATAATAAACCTTTAACTTCATATTTCATTGATGATTTATCTGTATGAGCATCTAAAAATAAGAATAAAATAATACTTCAAACAAAAGAAAAATATATTCACCTTTTATATCATCTTCCTCATCCGATGTTTCATCAGTTGAATAATCAATTTCATCACCTAAAATAAAACATAAAATACATAACTGAAATAACTTAAGATTCATTGTTTATATGATGATAGGAATAACAAAAAAGAAATATATGTTATTTTCTAAACATTCTTCTTTTAAATCCAACATAATTTGAAGTTAACTCAACATTTCTCTTTACAACTATATTCCTGTGAAACAAGATGAAGTTTATTTGACTCTTCTTTTAGTAATTTCAGTAACATAAAAAATGAACAAAAGTATAGAATTGAAAAACTTTAAAACTATGTTATGTAGAAAATTTCATGAAATATCTATATATAAAAGAAACTATTTGGTTTTTTTTAAAGTAATAATTTTTCAAAAAAATCGGTTTTGTTTTTCTAGTTCGTCATTTCTAACTAGCTGCAGTAAATATATCGGGGATATGTTGAACGATATAAATTGACGACAATGTACCCTAAAGATTCACATACATTTCACTAGATTTTGCACAAGCTACGCAGATCAAAGTTTACAAAACATCAATTGATCATTGATATAATCATTGGAGAAGAGATAACATGAAAAATGACCTTTTTGTGTTGTACATACTGTTTTCTTATATATCATTGATATTTGATGATAAGTACACATAGTTAAATCAATAGGTGACTTCATTTATTTACCATTACTATAGGTGAATGAATGAGACAGTTATGATTTCTATTGTATTGAGTTCTAGAGCAAAACAGTACTGAAATTTCTTTAAAAAAAAATTAATGTGTACTTGAACTAAACTATTAATGCTAGTTCAAAGCTATGCTAGAATCCTATGTCTATGAAAAAAGTCAGCTATTGATTTAACAACGCATAATTATCAATAAATACTATCGATATTAAGAAAAACAATATTTAAGAAAAAAATTTACTTTTCATATAATTTCTACTCTATAATCACTGGAACAATCAAATGAAATTGTACAAAGAATAAGGTATCTAATTATTGAGTCATAGAATTGACATACTTGAGAAGCTAATACTATATGTTTATGATTACTTTATCAGTAGTTTTTCTGGAATAGCTATGAGGATGGGTAGAGGGAGAATGGTAAACGATTATAATTCTTCTAATTAAATCATATATAAATTATTGTTCACTGGCTTTGCCAAAAAATATCTAAAATTTCACTCATCTTTAATATTTTAATCATAAATGACACGTAAAAGCTGATTCTAATCTAGACACACAACCAGGTTTTCTTAAGAGGAGTGGATCATCATAGAAAAAAGTACTCTTTTTGGTTTGTGAAAGCTAATTAGTCTGTATACTATCCAGATATTTAAAACTATCAAGGAAGGATTGATTTCTCCAATTCCAATCTGGATGTATCCATATTCTAATTGATCAATTCTTACATTCATGATCACCATCATCTGAATCTTCTTGATTTTCATTTGTTTGATGTTGAGTAGTCTTTCCTTTTTTAACTTTTGTATGGCTTGTTTCATTTTCATCTTCATCACTTAATGTCCATGCATCTTTTAATTTTTTACTATTTTTCTTATTTGTTTTTGATTTTTTGTTTGATTTATCATTATCATCATCTTCTTCTCGTTCATCATTCTCATTTTCATCTAAAATAAAAGTTTTAAAAACAAAAATTTAGGTTTTTTTTTACTTCAGACTTTTTTTACCTTCTTCATTTTCATTAACCCAATCTTCAGAATCAAGTAATTTAAAAGAACGTTTATTCTTATCCTTTGATTTATTTCCTTTTTCATCATTATGATTTTCAATTTCATCTTCATTAATTTTTTCTTTTTTAACTTGATGTTTTAAAAACCATTTACTTAAATGTTTATGTCGTTCTTGATATTGTTTTTCAGCTTCATCGAAATCAAGTGTTTTATAAACACTTGTTGGTGTAAATGCATACCAATCTTCAACAGGATATGCTTCAAAACCTTCTTTACCTTGTATAAATATATAATAAGATGAATTTGTTGTCACACCACCTTTTTTTAATCCTCGATAATGTTTTAATTTTTTTTCTGTTGATGAACGATCAGTTAATAACCAAGGAAGATCTTCAATATTTGTTCCTTTAGTTGCATAACGTTTTCGTTTTAATACTTCTTTTTGTTCCCGACCATATTCACTTCCTGCACCGGTTTTAGGTAAAACAATACCAAGTGATGTTGTGAACAATGTCGATGTTGATGGAGCATTAGAATCAAGATTAGTTGCTGGACGATATGTATAGGGATTTATTTCACGTCTCATTTCCATTGCTTTCCAATCTTTTACATCGACTGAGAGACCATTTGCAAATTCCATAACTCCATATTGAGCTCGAGTTCTACAAATGAAAGATTATAGATATTGTTTTTTAGTTAGAAAAAATTCATTATCTATATCAAATATTCCTAATAAGAATTATTTCATTTGTTATAATAAAATTTCAATGTTCTAGACTGTTTTTTTTCATTTAATATCTCCTACAGATTTCTACATCCAAAAAGTTTACCTTCATCATTTAAATTTAATTAATACTATTTGTAAACATGAGCATAATTTTAATTCAAAAAAATTCATTAGATGATCAAAATGTGACTTACTTAGGTACTTTAACAGCAAATTCTCGAGAAGCAGCTGCTACAGATTGTGATGTTGTTGACGTTGCAGCAGATACTGTTGGAGGTGGTGCAGATACTTTGGTTGAATGTGGTCCTAATATAATAGTAACTGGTTGTGATGTTGTTGACGTTGTAACAGATGTTGTTACATATGGTGCAGATACTTTGGTTGACTGTGGTCCTAATGTAATAGTAATTGGTTGTGGTGTAACCGCTATCATACGTGGTACTGATTGTGGTATAACCGGTATCATATGTGGTACTGAATGTGGTGCAATCAGACGAGGTACTTGGTTCATGTTTGTTTTTCTTTTTTAATAATATAGACTTCTTTGATTTGATTTGATACTTTCAATTAGACGACAAGTCGTTTCATTCGTCCAATCGATAGTCGATATATTTATACCTGTCGCTATCTATATACAATTCGCTTCAATGAAGAAATAAAAAAAAGATTGTAATTTATTTTGAATTAAGTCAAGATAAGAAACAAAGATATAATATTCTTTTCATCAACAACTCTAATTTTTTAATACAAAAAAAAACCATCATTGACAAGGCTGCCTCTATAGAAACCATATGACATAATGATACTTTGTAAACAAAGGACAATTTGTTGTCCATGTGTGCTTAAAATAATGATATATTTAAATTATCCTTTTTCATCTGTACTGACAACGACATATTAGAAGTATCGAGGTTTTTATATTTATGAGAAATAGTTCAGAAGTGTCACATGGATATAAAAAAAAAACAAAACGCAATTAATGAAAAAATCTTATAATATTAAAAAGATATAGCATAAAATTTAGCTAATATGGAAAATGATCAAATCATTTTTTTTTGAACAGGAAACGAACAATGCATTCGACCCATGTCATTTATTATTACTGTATTAACGCAAGAATATTAAAAAATATAACAATATTGACTAGATCGACTACACAAGATTATGGTTATGAATACAGTTGATTGATCAATTTTGTTCTATTTCATTTCTTGAGTTTTAAAACTTGTCTCAACAGTAGAGAGTTAAAAAAGAAGAAAAATGATAGAGCACAAACAAATTTGCCAGAAAAAAAAGAAGCAATAGGTCTTGCTCAGTATTAAAGTTGCATTTTTTGGATCAATAAATTATTGCGTAAGACGCATCCAGACGCATTTATTATTTAAGTGTATTGGCCACTATCCCATCTGCAAATCAAAGCGTTAAATATCAGTCCGTTAGATAGTTAACCTTTAATGGATATTCTGTTTGTATGCATTTATTACCTTTTGACGCTCCTAGGTCCTATTGGAGTACCATTATTAACAGATTTCTTTCTTTACAATATGTAAATAGGAGAACGATGAGGGTAACACAATTAGAAGAAAAAGAAAATGAATAATTTAAAAGATAAATAAATAACCAAATCTCTATATATAATGTTCAGTGTGTGTCTGTGCCGGGTTAAAGGTCAAATAAGGCTATAGGAGGAAGGCACCAAGAGCTACTATATTGGGGATCCATAAGTTCTCAAGCGCTATTATATGGGGATACCCATAGGCCTTCTCAAGGGCTACTTTATGGAGGTATTCATAGGTTCTCAAGCGATATTGCATGGAAGTAACCTTGAGTCCTGAGCAGCCATCTTATGGGATACCCATAGGTATCAAGGGCTATCATTTTGGGACACCATAAGTCTTCAAGGGCCATCCTATGGAGGTGCCTATAGGCCTCCTCAAGGGCTATTATATGAAGTACCCGTAGGCCATCAAGGGCTATTATATTGGAGCACTCATAAGGTCTGAGTGGAGTAAGGCAATCTATATATATATAATGCTCAGTGTGTGTGTTTCTGTCTCGAGTCAAAGGTTAACGGTCGAATAAGGCTATAAGAGAGTAAGGCTTTAAAGAAAAAAGACAATAAGGGACTACGGCAACAAGAGTATAAGGTCATAATGCGGCAAGGCTATAAGAAGAAGACTATAAGAGAGAACACTACAGGGAGTTGAGGATATAATGAAGTAAGGCAATAAGAGAATAATGCTATAAAGGGGTAAGGCTATAAGGGGATAAAAGTATAAAAGGGTAAGATAATAAGGAAGTAAGGTAAGAAGGAGATAAGACTATAGGGAATCAGGCAATAAGGGGACAAGATTATGAAGGGGTAGGACTATAAAAGGATAAGCCTGTAAGGGTATAAAGAGGTCAGGCTATAATGCAGTAAGACAATAAGGGGAAAGGCAACAAGGGAGTACGGATATAAGGTGAAAAGATTGTGAGGGGGAGTGGGCTATAAGGACGGAGGAGGGAGGGGGGACGCTATAAGGGTGTAAGGCTGCTAGGTGATAAGACTATATGAAGATAAGAAAATATCGAGATAAGGGTACCAATGATACGACTTTAAAGAGGTAAGATTATTAAGGAGTAAGGCTACAAGGAACGAACGCTCTTAGGGAGTTAGGCTGCAATTGTTAAGGCTATAAGACCGTAAGGCTACATTGAGTATTAGCGATATAAGAATATAACGCTGTAGGGCTTCTATGTACATGGTGTCAAGTGTCTCTGTGTCTATTACAGAATAAAAGATTAAAGTTTTGAGACCGTACGTTAAAGGAAAAACACGCTGCCGTGCAGTATGCACGGGTTCTCGCTAGTATATATAAAGATCTAACTTT